GAAAGAATCGGTCATCATTTTTCCACCAAACTAATAATAATGATCATTTAACTTTAATTGCAATTATAATTTCATGTGATTTCATTTGTTTTGTTCATTATTTCCTAAAACTATAAAAAAAGAGAAATTGAATGATTATAGCAGCATGTTTAATTTTAATTATTTGATGCTACAGGAATAATTTGATTTATAAATTGTAATGTACGGCTTCGTTACTTCGTTACAAGAACAATCAACAACTATTCGCATTATTATTCGAATAATTGTATAACCTCTATTCGAATAACTTATTCGAATAAAGAATTATGCGATTAATAACGAATTATTCGAATAAACAAATAATATACAATAATAAATAATCGTTACCCGTATAAAATAATCGACTAAATAGAATTCACTCGGGTAATTATCTTAGCTAAATATTGATACGAAACGATTCGAATAGTGACTCTCTGGATTACACATTACAACTCTGGATTACAGACATGATATTTCGAAACGAACTTCTTGTTATTTGCCTAGTCCGAACACGTTACATTTTGTTTACAACAGACGTTACAAACATTAATATTCAGAGTGTATTTCATTACAAGCCACCGTCAGCCCGGCGGCAACAGTTTCGCAATAGAAAACCCGCTGAAAAACAAATCGCGTGGCCGCTAACGAAATTAATTAAACGAGGCGTCTCCCGCGAGGCAACGTCGACCCAAATCATAAAAGTTCCCTGGCGTGTATCGAGAGCCACTTTATCAAAGCAGTGCAGCGACAAAACTTCTGCGGCGTTACCAGAAAAACTCGCTTCCCTCATTAGGACCCATCGAGCCACGCAGATATAAACGGCCTTCTCCGCGTCAGAGCGTCGCGTCGCTTTCGTCGTTCGCCCTTTTTGGCCTTGCTTCGCCTCGACGCCGACGTCAACGTCGACGCCATGACGATGTTCGCCAGAACGCAGCCGTCGAGGTACATTTATCTTGGCAGCCGCGATAAACTATAAGAGCGAAGGATAGAAATACATTCCATTATTTTATACGGAAGCGTTTACATTAGAGCAACAAGCATAGCGAACATATTTTTCGATGTACCGTATCATGGAACTGTAAAATGATAATCATTTTTCTCCAGGATTATTCGTCTTCCAATAAACATCACCCTTGATCACTAAACCAGATTGTATGGTGCACACACGTTATAACTTTAAAATGTTCCAACAGACAAAGTATTGCGGATATTTTGTACATCGAAAAACCCGGGAAATAAACGACACGTGTGATTTTTGGATTTATAATAGTTACTTATCTGAATCTTATAATCGATTAATAGGTAACTTGATGATATATAATAAACAAAAAATTTATTAGAATATTTATTTTTTTTGTTATTTACGTTCATATTATAGACGTACATTCAAACATGTATGAATATTAATTGTTAAGTAAAGAAACCATTAACGTTATGTTGGTCGACTGTACTTCCTGAGCTCTCTGATTAATGAATGACATTAGATCTGAATAAATGTACAAATCAAAAATGATTCTTAATAACGAATAAATCTTCTCTCAATAAAATTCTATTCAAATAACGTTTTCAATAAAATTTTCAAATAATAACGTTGTAAATAAATTCTTCCGATAAAAGTTTACTCAAATATAGCAGCTTCAATATGGGTGTACCCTTAGCCGGGGAACATCGTTTTGTCTCGTTCCCTTCTCGTTTTCACGGCGTGGCAGACACCTGTCAACGAGCCGATACGTGTGCGATTCCGTATGCTAGTTTTTCGAGCGACTACCTTCGCCAAGAATTCCCAGCCTTGCATGTCCTCAGCCAGAAAACGGCGTGACGAGCGTGCTGCGGATGATTACAGAATCGTTCGTACGAGAAATGCTGAACGTTCCGCCAATAGTTCGATTGTCTACCGTCATGGGAAATGTCGAGTTGATGAAATATTCATTTCGGCTATCGAATGTGTCTCCGCTGGTTTCTTGAAATATTCGCGATTGCTAATTGTGACGATCCAGACAATACAGTTTTTTTACACTTTTTCTTGTACACTAGTAGATGAAATTACAGTGCGTGTGAAACGCATTGGGACATTTTTTAAAACGGCATAACTTTTTTAAGACTGGACTAAATAAATTGAATTATTTTGTAAAATGTTAGTCGGACTAGTTTTCTATTTGTATAATTTGTTTAAATCTACTGTTACTTAAATTGACAAATAAAAAAACTCTCGTTTTTTAACTTTTTTATCTAAGCCTATAAAGAAATTCTTTAAAAATGCATTTTGTAGATCTCGGTAACTTAAATACATGCTGAAAAGTTCATCAAAATCGGTTTTCATTTATAAAAAAACTTCGTTACAAAAAAAAGTATTTTAGTTATTGTACAGTAAACTGGTCAGCTTAATATTTAAAAAAAACAATTAATCTAGTCCAGTTTTAAAAAAGTTATACCGTTTTAACAGATGTCCGAATACTTTTCTTACCCAATGTATGAGATACTCTAAAAATAAAGTGGGCTCCATATCGTATTAGTTGGAAAATGTAAAATGTCAGGTTATTCAAAGGGAAATTGTTTTTTGAATTCAAATGAACATTTGGTTAATCAAAGTGCTTGCACGAATTTTTTCCCAAACTCTTTTCAAGTCAAACAGAACTTAAATAGAACAAATAGCTTAACTAGAACAACGCTTAAATAGAACTGGGTTATAGTAGAATTTAAATTTTCGGCATGTTATAATCTACATTCGTATTGAAATGTGAGAAAAGTGAGATAAAATTTATTTACTCCGTAGGAAAATACAAAACTAAGCTGCATTAGAAAACTCTGCTGAAAATTGAATATATGTAATTCATATTAAGATCGTACTAACACTAAAGAACAAAAGTTAAATAAGCGTCATTTCAAAATTCCTAAGTAATAACTGTTTCCAAAATTTTGTGTCGATTATTTCGTTGACAAATTATAATTTGGAATTACGCACTAAACTGTTGGATTATAGATAAGAATGGTGTCCGTAATTAAAATAATGTGCATAAGTTTCATAAAACTCAGTCGACTGATTCAGTGCGATACTACAGTGTTCAGTGTAATAACCGAAAAATGACAAAAAAGAGCATTTATGCGAAATAATCTACAGTTACGCAATCATCTACGGTATCGCGATTACGAGCGCGATATATATGTGTGCGTGAAAAATGGTATACTTCGGGGATTTGCTCGCCATTATGGAGGAACGTGACTTTGATAGAGACACCATCGATACAGACTCCCTGGAGTTCGAGGTAATGCCCCGAGCCTTCAAACAAAATCAAATGAAGCAATATTACGTATAAATTTTGAAAATTTTACCATTTATATGTTGAACACAGTTGCATAAATTTTAAAATTAAGAAGAATGCAAAGTGATCTTTCAAAAAATTAGAACAAAATTGCATTTGCACTTATAATAGTATTAACAATGACTATTGAACTATTGAACTATTAATCAAAATATCGCAAAAATAAAGTAATATAGTTGCATTAATATTATTATAGTTAATATTATATTATATTATTATGGTTAATATTATTGCATAGTTAAAGTTTATAGTTATAGCGATTACACCCCTCACTGTTTTATATTCTTCAAATCCTAATGAAAAGTTTATACAACCTCATTAAGCTAGAAATTAATTTTGAGATTAAAAAAGATAATATAGTCTCTATCTAATAAGTGTTTATAATGTTTATAAATGCATAAAATAAAAGTTTGCGTGATGAAAATTAATGAAACTTCTATTACATTTTTAATGTGCTGAAATTATTCAAAAGATAATAAAATTCTTTAAAAAATTGTACAAGTGAATNTCAACTTTTGCAACAGGCAAGAAATCTCAGGAGTCTTTCCTTTCATTATGTAATTAGTGATCAGAATACATATTCTAATTGTCTGACATAGCTTTTTGAAATTATTGTTAGAGCATCTTCATTATTAGTTTCATTACAACGAATGCTTTTTGTATTATTGCAGGCTATACAATTGTCAGCGTACCCAAAGAAACTAGATCTTAGCAGTGGGGGTCTATCAAGAATTCCTGAGAGTGCTATAGCATTTCCAGCTATAGAAGAGTTGGTATTAAGCCAAAATCAACTCACAAACGCCAACAACAACCTCGAGCTTCTTCACAGGTATGCACTGCTTGGTATACAATATATACTATCTTTAGTACCGTACATTATATATTTTTTTTAAAATAAGTACCGTGTTCTATATGTATATTCTTATATACATATATATTTTTTTAAATAAGGACCATGTAGTATATATTTTTTAAAAACATAAATATATTATACTATAATATATATTTTTTATAAATAAGTACCATACACTATATATATTTTTAAGTAAGCACCTATATTTTTACACACTTTTAATCATTATATTTTAATATCTTTCACCCAGATTTCCCAAACTTCATGTACTTCATCTGGAGAGCAACGAACTGAAGAAAATTCCGCGGGAATTACTGGAGCTCAGGCGGCTGACTTACCTCAATGTCTCCGACAACAAAATCGAGAAGATTCCGTCTGACATAAGCCAGCTTATCAAGTATGTAAAGTCAATTTTATCAGATTCCGTTCGCGACAACGTTTCGCCAATGGCTGGCCTCGAAAATGCGAAACAATTTTACTTTTTGCCATTAAAGTACCCGAAATTCTCTTTTAGAAGAAATGGATTATCAAATGTGAAAGCAAAATCGAAATTGACAATTTACCAATTCAGAGTGGAACAAATTGAACTATACTTTAAAAAAAGAGAAAACTATCTATTATTCGCATCTACTTAATTTCTCAACAACTCAGTGTGTTAAAATAAATATAAAGTTATTGCAGCTTCTATTAGCTAACAATAAAAAATATTCAGGCTTCGAAACTACAGCAACTATTTCTTATTCTACTTACATTGTTTTGTTAAATATATTATTTAAGCGCAAACCATCAATTTAACATCAGCCAATAACATGCGCATCACTCCTAATCGCCATCCTCCTAAATTGCTTAATCGATGAGACGTTATAAATGATACTCAGCTCGCAAATACTAATTACTACTTAAGTAGAATATGAACGTTTGCATCGGATTAGTACACGTGAACGCATTGACTTCGATATACATAGAGAAAGCTATAGCATTCAAACGCTTAGAATATATCTAATTGCCTTTAAATCGCGTGTAATTGAAACGCTCTTATGATAAATTTGTACATTTTCATCCCGAATTATAAGCAAACAATTTTTAAATAGAAATAATATTTTAACTTCAACTTCAGTACATTAAAAAGTAGTAACTGTGTTACAATATCAGCTCAATGAGGTTGAATGTACTTGGCTTAGCATTTTTAATAGAATTTCATATTTTCAGTATTGTTGTAAATAAAATTCTTTCTCCTGAGTACGCTGATTTCCCGAGGCCATCGATAAAAACTCTAGAAAGCGCGAACGAAACTGTGAGACATAGTTTCTTGATGTACGATTTGACGTGGAATATCTTGTCTAGAACATTGAGGAATATTCCCTGTCGATGGAGAGAGAACGTCCTTCCAAAGAAATATTTTCTATCGTGTAAAAGAATCAAACCCTGATACATCTCGCACACCGTGTCGTGCTCGCAAATAANTAGATATAGTGCAATCCATTTCTCAATCTATAAAACGTAATTGAAAAAATATATCAACTTTTGCAACAGGCAAGAAATCTCAGGAGTCTTTCCTTTCATTATGTAATTAGTGATCAGAATACATATTCTAATTGTCTGACATAGCTTTTTGAAATTATTGTTAGAGCATCTTCATTATTAGTTTCATTACAACGAATGCTTTTTGTATTATTGCAGGCTATACAATTGTCAGCGTACCCAAAGAAACTAGATCTTAGCAGTGGGGGTCTATCAAGAATTCCTGAGAGTGCTATAGCATTTCCAGCTATAGAAGAGTTGGTATTAAGCCAAAATCAACTCACAAACGCCAACAACAACCTCGAGCTTCTTCACAGGTATGCACTGCTTGGTATACAATATATACTATCTTTAGTACCGTACATTATATATTTTTTTTAAAATAAGTACCGTGTTCTATATGTATATTCTTATATACATATATATTTTTTTAAATAAGGACCATGTAGTATATATTTTTTAAAAACATAAATATATTATACTATAATATATATTTTTTATAAATAAGTACCATACACTATATATATTTTTAAGTAAGCACCTATATTTTTACACACTTTTAATCATTATATTTTAATATCTTTCACCCAGATTTCCCAAACTTCATGTACTTCATCTGGAGAGCAACGAACTGAAGAAAATTCCGCGGGAATTACTGGAGCTCAGGCGGCTGACTTACCTCAATGTCTCCGACAACAAAATCGAGAAGATTCCGTCTGACATAAGCCAGCTTATCAAGTATGTAAAGTCAATTTTATCAGATTCCGTTCGCGACAACGTTTCGCCAATGGCTGGCCTCGAAAATGCGAAACAATTTTACTTTTTGCCATTAAAGTACCCGAAATTCTCTTTTAGAAGAAATGGATTATCAAATGTGAAAGCAAAATCGAAATTGACAATTTACCAATTCAGAGTGGAACAAATTGAACTATACTTTAAAAAAAGAGAAAACTATCTATTATTCGCATCTACTTAATTTCTCAACAACTCAGTGTGTTAAAATAAATATAAAGTTATTGCAGCTTCTATTAGCTAACAATAAAAAATATTCAGGCTTCGAAACTACAGCAACTATTTCTTATTCTACTTACATTGTTTTGTTAAATATATTATTTAAGCGCAAACCATCAATTTAACATCAGCCAATAACATGCGCATCACTCCTAATCGCCATCCTCCTAAATTGCTTAATCGATGAGACGTTATAAATGATACTCAGCTCGCAAATACTAATTACTACTTAAGTAGAATATGAACGTTTGCATCGGATTAGTACACGTGAACGCATTGACTTCGATATACATAGAGAAAGCTATAGCATTCAAACGCTTAGAATATATCTAATTGCCTTTAAATCGCGTGTAATTGAAACGCTCTTATGATAAATTTGTACATTTTCATCCCGAATTATAAGCAAACAATTTTTAAATAGAAATAATATTTTAACTTCAACTTCAGTACATTAAAAAGTAGTAACTGTGTTACAATATCAGCTCAATGAGGTTGAATGTACTTGGCTTAGCATTTTTAATAGAATTTCATATTTTCAGTATTGTTGTAAATAAAATTCTTTCTCCTGAGTACGCTGATTTCCCGAGGCCATCGATAAAAACTCTAGAAAGCGCGAACGAAACTGTGAGACATAGTTTCTTGATGTACGATTTGACGTGGAATATCTTGTCTAGAACATTGAGGAATATTCCCTGTCGATGGAGAGAGAACGTCCTTCCAAAGAAATATTTTCTATCGTGTAAAAGAATCAAACCCTGATACATCTCGCACACCGTGTCGTGCTCGCAAATAATATTTTATTTATGCACACTGTTCGCAACTGTAATCAAAAAATTATCGATCTTTGAAATTATTGATCATTGCATTCAGAGGAAGAACATGTGCAAAATCGATAACATTAATTTCATAAATACATAATATACAGTAGCGTACATATATTTAAGACCACATGAAAAACGGTGTAACTATTTCAAAACTGAATTAAATGACTTGAATTTTGTTTAGGTGATAGATAGATCAGTCTACTAGACAATGACTTTTTTAAAATTTTGCTATTACTTGGAATGACAAAAAAAAATAAAAAACTCACGTTTATCAACTTTTTTATCTGAGCCTATAACGGAAATTTAAAAAATGCATTTGGTAAATCTCGGTAAATTATATATATGCATGCTAAAAATTTCATGCTGCTTTTAAGCAGTCCATATCTACATGATTATCGCTTTGCAATATTTGTACTCAAATACCTCGTAAACTAATAATTTATTGACACGCGTGGTTTAATATGTTCTTGTTTGGAACGATGGACTGAATCGATGAGTGTATTCAAAATTATATGATTGTGGCCCCCTCGAAACCACTTAAATTCCATAGGAAATATCTTTTATGCAGTGTGTAATTAACGAGTATTTTTCTCATTTATAAATTAAAATCGGACACCCGGTAAATGAAAATGTTAATGCTGTAAGTGGTTAATAAAATTAAATTCATCGTGTTTTGAACGATGAAAGGCAACGTGCAACCTTGCGCGCCAGATCGTTTCAAAGGACACTTTCCGCGCGAACGTTTCACGGTGACGCGTGAGCGGAATCCACGAATCGGTTCATCTGAGCCGATGATCGCGGTAGGGTCGTCTAATTAAAACGGAAATTACGTAAAGTTTCTCTCGAAAACTGCTTTCCACCGAGCGGAAATGAGGATGCCGGAGAAGAAGGAACTACGGTATGAGCACGGGCCCGCGCCGATACACGGACAGTGGTTGCACGTCGAACACAGCCGTGCACGGGACCTGTAGCCTCTACGGAAAAAGAAAACACGGTCGTGTAGACGGTGTACACCTGCGACTGCAAAAGCTAAGCCAACTCTCTGCTGACTTACCGGTAGAATGGAGTTGGGCAACACGCCCGGCAGAAGTCATGCGTCGGGCCGCAGTGGTGCAGAAACAACGGAGGAAGAGGAGCCTAACCGCGAATTAATGTGGAACTTTCCACTAATCACGTGTCCTAGATTATTTGGATTTCAGTTTTGATAATCGATCTTTTGGTTTTGTAAATTTTGACAATTAACCTGTTAAACCGGAAATTAACTTTTGTTCTGCTCATTTTACAATAGAAATTTTTTTATCGCGGTGAGAAGTTATATTACCACGCTTAAAATAATGAAAAAGATCGCTTCTCACTTGTTGAGAATAGTTTTGAGTAGAATATTTAAGAGTATTTCCATTTGCTCTTGAAGACATCGACATTTGAGTGTACAAAATGCACAGAGAGACAATTCTTCCTGGAACTTTTCTATAATCATTCTCTATTATTGGAATTTAGTTTGCCTGAGTAAGTGCAAATCGATCTTCTGGTTTTGGAAGTTCTATGATTAATTGTAAGAAGGAAGAGTAAAACAACAAGTTTCGCTCGTTTTTGGGCATCTCAGCATTTGAATATAGAAAAATAAATGACACGACACGACGATGATGATGCTTGACGGAGCTTTTCAGTAATTGCGTGTCCTTTACCGCTTGGATCGTCGGGCTCGATCTTTTGTTTTCGTAAATACAAAAAAAATATGAAAGGGAAGAGGGGACAACAATATTCGATTGTTTTTTTTTGAGAATTCGAATGTAGACACCGTGCAAAACGATAATGTTAGATGAAAATGTAATAAATAGCACGAGACCTTGGATGTTAAAAGGAAACAGCAGGAAATAGCGGTGCTTCCATTAGGATATGAGTTGGCAATCTTACAAAAATGAAAATGAAGAAATAAAATGAATGACCGTGATAGAGATTGCAGATAGTTTTCAGTACGTCCATAATATGGAGGCTCGGTTTCTCAAACTAGGATTACTAAACCGGGTTCAGCCAGCTCACG